CCAGTTTGTCTGACTTGAGTGGGTGTCCGCTGCTGGCCCGATGGCTTCCTCTGTGCACTGGCCCACGCGGGTCTCCGGGAAGGGCCTTCTCTGCCTGCCTGGAGCATCTGACGTTCTAACCCAGAAGTCAGGGATCCAACTCGTTTTCTCCGTGCCTTGCCACGTGGCCTGCCCGTCCACGTTTTGCTCGATGTTTCCTTTGATCATATCTTCTGTGCCTCAGTGGCCACATTCTTAATTTGTTCTCTGTTGGATTGGGTTGAAGGCATGTTCTTTTGCTCTTCATGGAAACTTTTTTCTTTTGTTAGAGCTTCTTCAAGTTATTTTTCTTTAATGTTATTCTCTCAAATATTTTTCTTTCACTCATTAGGTTATTTATGCGTTGAGCAAATGGTTCTTAAGAAAGCCTTTAAATGATTGGCTCAGGTACACCTGTCTGCTAACTCAGGTGATTCTCTAATGACGTTACCAGAGCTGCTGCTTATATGCTGGTTATATACGTTTCAAATTCAGTTACTGATGAGTTGTGTGGTAACTTTTGTATCATTTATTCAAATAGTGCATGTGTGCGTAAGTCATACCTAAATCGGAGTGACGGGACACGCAAGCTCTCCTGTAGGTGGACGAATGTTAACTTCCTTAGGTTACTCATTTTTGTCCTTCCTCTCTGCGACCCCAAGTTTAAGGGCACAAACTGTAGTCACAGCTCTACAGCATTTAGAACAGTCGTACCTAGTACATAACAGCTTCTTTATAAATATTTGTCAAATGAGTGAAGTAAATCCCAAAGGAAATTAAAATAAGGACCTATTGTTTATTTTGTGTATTTCTTTTTTTTTGAGACAGTGCTGCTCTGTTGCCCGGGCTGGAGTGCCGTGGCTCAGCGTAGCTCACAGCAACCTCCAACTCCTGGGCTCAGGGAATCCTCCTGCCTCAGCCTCCTGAGTAGCTGGGACTACAGGTGTGCCCCACCACGCCCGGCTAATTTTTTCTATTTTTAGTTGCCCAGCTAATTTTTTTTTCTATTTTAGTAGAGAACGGGGTCTCGCTCTTGCTCAGGCTGGTCTCGAACTCCTGAGCTCAAGCGATCCTCTACAGGATTACAGACGTGAGCCACCTCGCCCGGCCAGGACCTATTTTTTAAAAAATCAGATGTCCACATGAAATTAACACTTCCAGGTCAAGTGCTGGCTTCTCCATATTAGCAGTGTGACCTCGGGCATGTTACTTAAGTTTTTTTATTAGCTGTGAAATGGGCACAATACTCACTTCATTAGAACGTTTCGAGAATAAAATGAGATGATATTTATTCATAAAGCCCTTAGCACAGTGCTCTGTTCCTAGCGTGGTGTGCAGTCAGCAAATGCTAGCTCCTTTCTCGTTTCCTGCCCCCTCTGCACTTGCACTTTTAGCATCCCTTTGGACAAGCCGTAGTCCCTTACTTCGGTTGTGACCTGAGGTTGGATCCAGTGAACCAGACGGGTGGCTGCCTCTTGAGACTCCCCTTCCTGGAAATGGCTACTCGTCCTCACACCCTCTGTCTCGGGCACCCTGTGATGCAGTCACATCCCTGATTCTGTGGTTGTAGTCGAGGTTGCGGTAAGCTTGTATTTCACTTTCGTTCCCTTCCTGATTTGTGTACAAAATCCATCAAATTTATTTCTCATGACTGAGCCAGAGTTCAAAAGCTTTTTTTGGAGCTCATCTAACATAACTGTTTTGTATTTTGAAACATTTCCTGGGCATATTTTGTTCCAAGTGCCGGCCCCGTGTTTCCTTGTTTGCCGTTGCCACTGCTGCTCTCTGCCAGGTCGACTTCAGATAAGTGGCAGAGCCACACCCCTGACCACTGGGCCCGGATTCCTGGCCTTCTCTTCTGGGCTAACCCTGTCAGCCCCTAATCTCTCCTGTGCCACTGACCTCCCAGAGACACCTGCTCGGGACAGCGTCGAGATAGCAGATGTAGGTAGGACTTTTCCAGTGAGCTTAAATTGCCCAAGATCCTGCAGAGTACGGGTGAGAAAGTGAGCAGACACCGGCAAGCGCGTGGTCGGGCCCCTGCGTCCTGTGCCAGGACAAGCCTGGTAGACCGTTGCCTTTATGCTGATGAGAGATCCGGGGACAGGTGCAGAGGCAACTGCCGATGACTTGGACTTCCAAATAATGTGGCACTAAAGTAGCTCGAGGAAGTTATTTGTAAATGGACTCCATTTAAACAGGCTTGCTCATTATCCTTTGGAAAATATCGATGTATGTTCTCTTTTGCCAACAGAGGAGCAAACTCCTGAGCACTTGAGGTTGAGGGCAGACCATGGCACTCCCTGCTGCCTGAGGGGTGTGGCTCTGCCCGAGCCAAGGCCTGCTGGGCAGGCCAGAGCCCAGCTGTGCGAGCCACAGCCTTGTCCACCTTAGACCGGAATCAGTCTTCCTCGGCTCTGCAGGTGGCGGGTTTGCTGGAACCCACCCGCTTCGGTCTGTGCTTCCTTCTCGGAGCCACCACTTTGTTCCTACTGGAGCTGTTTCTAGCAGGCAGCCAGGCCTTCGGCGTTCAAGAGCAGAGAGGGTTTCAGAGGAAACATGTGGCTTTAGGGAAGGAATCAGAAGACTGGACTCCGCAGAGTGTGTCTCGTCTGTCCTGTTGACTGCACTGCCACTTGTAGCCAAGGACATGACCCGATCTCGGTGTTGGAAAGCGTAGATAGCCAGGTTAATAGATAGAATAATAAGGGGAGAGTAGACAGCTGCCTTTCACTCCTGGCACTGAACATTCTGGGCCTGAGTGTCCTCAACTTTGGGATGAGGGTTTGGGCGTCTGAGTGGCCCCTAAGGTCCCTTCTCCCTGTAATTGTGCCGTTTTCTCTGTCCCGGCAGCTGATTTTCAGAATGGTGGCCCCAAAATGTCTCTGGCACCCCCAGCCATCCCAGCCTGACTGCTCCCGCAGGTGCCCTCACGTCCTGTCCTGCCAGGAGCTTTGTCTTCCTGCCTGCGCTCACTCCGTGCCGTCCCATTCATCCCTCTCTGCACCCAGCCAGCCACCCGCTGCCTTCCAGTGATCTGTGTGCCAGGCCATTCCCAGGGCACCCTTATCACCCCCATCATTCCCCAGATCTGCATATTCAGCCCCGATCCCCTTCCCAAACTCCTGCCCATGTCCACAGGATACTTCTCCCAAAGTCACTTCCAAATCCAGGTCCTCGACTTGTCCCCTAACCAGGTGCCTTTCGGACTTCCTCTTTCTGTGTCACTAGC